CGGGCCAGGGTCGAGAATGTGTTCATCTGGGGTCACGTGGGCCCCCCATTCAGCTTCGCAGCTCGGCAGCCGAGGCTGTGCCCCCCACCCACCGAGGAGTGCAGTGAGGGATGGAGCCCAGTAACTCGGCGGCCTCGGGCCAGCCGCCAGCCTCTCTGAACCCGTGCCCTCATTTCAATTCTGGGCTCTAGAATTATTTTCTTTAGGGTTCAATCATACATTTTAAAGGACTTTTTTTAAAAGACACTGATCCAGCATTTGGGGAACGGGCAGTTGGCTGCGATCATCAGGCTGGCAGGTGGCTCATGCAGCCGCGAAGGCCAGGCCAGGCGCACCTGCGCGTCTCTCCTGCGCTCGCCAGGGGGCGGCATAGAGCGCACGAGGCGCCGGCTCGGGACCCACCAAGGACACCGTTCTTGCGGCCCCTCCACCAGACAGACCCCTTTCCACATGAGGGCTGTGTCTGCAGCTGACAAGGTCCCCCTTGTCCCCAGGGTCCCTCTGTTCCTGTTAAAGACGAGGACCCTGATCCAGAGCCTGGCTATGGGCTCCCTGCACTGTGAGGACATAGCCACGCAGCTGCTGAAGATGCCCCGCCTTGTGGAGGCGTCCGAGCCCCGCCATCACCATGACGCCAACGCGGCCCTGCTCCTGGCACTGGCACTGTGCATGGTCAGTTGGCTGGTGGGGAGGAGGCGGGCCTCCTTCCAGGATGAAGGGACAGTGACCAGGGGACCCCAGCCGGGCGCAGATTAAGAGCCTGGTATTAGGGCGGAGCCCAGGCTTTAATGATCAGAAAGGAAATCAGGAGCGTCCTGAGTCCTGGGGCGGAGGCCGGCGTTCCAGGGTGGGTCTAGACTCACTTTATCACCTTCTGGGGGTTCTAGACCCTTTCTTGGGGGCCATGCTGAGCATGTGATTACCAGGAGCAAGCTGCTCTGGCGGCTCCAGCCTTTCCCTGGGGGCACGGGTTTGCCCTATGTGCCCGTCACTCCTTGTTTCTGGGCAGGGTGGAGAGCAGTCCAAGAGCTGGTTAAAACCATTCCACC